CTTTCGGATAATGAGCGGAGCGAAAAAGCAAGGCCCAGGAGCTCATAGAGCCGGACCCCATTTGAGAACTTCCTTTTACCTTGGGACTCCCGACAAGTGCTCCACGCATGCAACGCAAGTGGGTTGGCCCATTTATGATACAGTACGTACGCATGCTTGCATGCATGTTGCCTTGGGAAATACACATGCATGCATGCATGGAGCAGCTATTCAAATTATTTCCCCAAATGTACATATATATCTCATGGCCGGACCTACATGGATTTGGTTGGGTCATAGGCCCATTCACTTAATTAAAAAAATATATTTTCTTTATAAAATACACAAAATTTTAAAATAAACCCAATAAAATTAAAATTTCCTTCAATTATAATTGTTTATGGGTTCGCTAAAATAATTCAAACATAATTTAAATTATAATTCAATTTAGGCTAATGTTTTTGGCAGTGATGATACAGTGTAAGATCTATTGAAGACCCTCCAGTCAATAGATCTCACATTGTTTGTTTGTCTGTTGGCACCTGAAGACCTTCTTCCAGAAGACGAAGCTCATATAACTTGGAAAAGGTTTTTTTACTGCATCATTCTTTTTACCTTGGAAAAGGATTTTTTATACGTATGTAAGATTTAAAACCTGAAATTGAAAGTCTACAGATCTGTCATGGACTTTTTCATGAAAATGGAACAAGAAGAGCAAGAACAACAAGCTTTGAATGAATATGTTTCATCGCATAGGGAAAAAAACACAAAAGGATGGGAATCTCTACTTACAAAGGACAGACACAAGCAAATGAATGAGAAGAGGGTTTTAGGGGTTAGGAGGAGGCGAACAAGCCCCAGTGATGATCTGAGGGCAGAGTTTCTTTTATCTTCTCAAGCTTCTTTAGTATCTCCAGGAATGATGGCCTCTGGTTCATGTCCCCATCCCAGCACCTCTCCATCAACCTTTCCATATTCAACGTTATGCCATTTTTAGTACAAATTAAGAGAGACCTTTTCTCAACTTGTTCTACTTTGTTTTTTCACAGAAATGGCTTACTCTCTAAGGTCAGGAGTGCATCCTCTGGAACGGAACGTGGGTCTGTGCCCATTTGCTACGTGTTTTGCCGCTTCGTAAGGCTCGTGGCTCGCAAATGGCGGTTCCCCTTCAAGCATCTGCGCTCATTTTTTGGGCGAAAATGATGGTTGAAACAATCAAGAACCATTTGTAAGATATTTTAAGTTTTATCGGAGAATGTTTGGAGCTTGAAATCTTACCTCGTAAAGTATCATTGCAAAGGAGAAGACATCGACTTTCTTGTCGTATTTTCTGTGTTTGAATACTTCAGGAGCCATATACCGGTCTTTTTATATCATCGTTACATTAAAAAAAAAAAAGACAACATCAGATGGATGCTAAGTAAGAGTATGTCAGAGTTGGGTTTTGTCAGCAAAAGATACTTACAGCTTCCGGTTTCTCCTGTCATTTTATACACATCGTGAGAATTCTGAACCTTGATGAGTTTGCTCAGCCCAAAATCTCCAACTTTCAAGTGGTCCGCACTGGAGTTCACCAGAAGAACATTCCTGGAAAATTGGTAGACAACCTATATATTGAGTTCAACTTACAACGAGATGATCTGAGTGATAAACAGAAAACCAATGAAATTTGCCAGGGAAAAAAATATGATGCAATGCAACGCATCTTACCTTGGTTTGAGGTCTCGGTGAATGACTACATTGGGTTCATTGTGAAGATACGTCATTCCTCTATGCGCAAAAAAGGGGGGGGGGGGGA